AAGGCAATACAGTAATTATCCTTACTAAGCTATCTTTGAGCCCTTTAAAAACTACATCTTAGCTCCTCACTGACACAATCTCACTGTTGTCTCCAAAGTTCCTTGAAGTGAACAGTTTTCCACAGTGGCTCTCTCTCATTCCTGAAGCTTACAACACAACTATTTCAGCAGTATTACATCATTAATCAAAATTATATATCGAACGTGATTAGCTATCACCAGCCTGATTTATAATGGTAATAGGACCGAGTGGAGTCCAATTCGGTCTGTAATCATGAGTATGATTACAGACAGAATTGGACGGCACAAAGTCCTGTTACCAATTAATCATAACTGTTACAATTTCCGAAAACAACAAATTCATTTAGGACAAATATGTGCAGTAGAGACAATGTCTAAGTAAAATATTCCTCAACTTTGGAAATTCCACTACTTTTTTAGGATATGTGGTTGTTGCTATGGTTATTGTGATCAATTCTATGGTTGGTGGATTTGACTAAAAACATTGCTTAAAAAAAATTGGTGGGTTTGAAAACACTTGTCACTATAATCAATCGAGATTTATACAATAGGTACATTTTTATTTCAAGTTTTTCAGTTTTTGGTGATCTTTGAACCTTGCTGAAACCAGTTGTTACCAGTTCTTCGTAGGATCGCTATAAATCATTGCTTACTGGAATAAAAGATTTTGTTATGATCTTTACCGATATCTCTCTTTACATTTTGTGTCAGCGTCGTCGGATCAAAACATTCTTCAGGAGAAATTTGTTTTGCTGAATCCTAATGGTAAAGCCTTCATGTCATAGTTTCAAGGAATCAAATAATTTTACTTGAGAAGAAAGGGAGAGCTTTCCATTGTGTTAGATATAACGAATTAGGAAAATGAATAAATGACTCTGGCCCAAATTTGCTATGTTTTGTTTGTTCGTTTGTTATGTTTTGTTTTGTTTTTTTCTTCAATGTAAGAATCCAGCCATCCACAAAAAGGAAAATGAGGAGATAAACAGCACTCAGCTCGGTTCCATCTTCAATCCGCTTCTTTTTGGTACAGTGCTATCATTATAAATAAAAATCGATCTCCGGTCCTCAGCCAGTTCACAAGAATGATGGAATATTGACATCCTGGAAAAACTGCCTAAACACAGATTTGATTATGTTCTAGATTTCAGAGACTTATCACAGCTCTATGTTCATGGTTTCATTTTTCAATTGTAAAAGTATTTCTTAGCTGTGAAATACGTACGAGTGACAATGGGACAACGAAGGAGATTTCTATAAATCTTGAATTATTTGCCATACTGACGTGTAACCAACGAACCTGAACACAGCAATGTACCTCTAATGGCAGATCGAAACTTACCATCTTATGCCTGACAAAGCTTTATTGAGTTTAAGGTTCACGTGATCCGCCCTTGTAATGAATTGTTTTGCTTAATGTCTCCATCGGATTCCATCCGATGGAGTTGAACTTCTTCCCTTCGAACATCTTTTTCAGAAACATTAAATCCACAACTTAATATTAACTTCACTTTATAAGAACTAACCCCCAACAATGTAAGTTAAACCGCCGTAGAAACGAACAGAGAGGGTGTCTATTTACACGGCAAGCTTCTGGCATTGGTAACGCTAAAACCTGGAAATTTTCAAGAACCTACTGAAAACGTCCATGAATCCTTCATTAGCACGATAAATAGCTCTGTTGGCAGAGTCAAAGTCTTCCCTAAAAAAGCACTACATGTACATAGATTCACAGCGTTGATTTCATTTGATTGCCCAGAGGTTCTTTTTAAATAATGCTATGATTCATTTTTGTTTCACTAACAAATTTGTACTAATAAGGTTTGATCTCTTGGTGTTTCGCAAATATGATAAGTTCTATTATAAGTTCTCTGATTGCACCAGGTACAACGTATAATCATAGTGGATCAAATATTGGTACTATAAAAAGCAGAATAAAATCATGGCTATAAATTGGCTCAAAGTTGTCAAGATGAAGATTGTTCTGCTAATGGTTTGCATAATCTCACTCATCTATCTATATGGAAATTCACCTTGGAGGGCTAGCCAGGAGAGATTGGGAGAGTGTGGTTGTAAAAACTGAACTGTGAGGTGCATTTAATCATAATTCGCAGTCTATGGGATTCTCTGGAACAATGACTGTGATCTTAAAACAACGACTTGTTAAGCAAAAAAGTTACATAATTTATCTCTTAACTTATTGCGTAATGAATTGCGTTATTTTCCGGCTGCTAGGTCTGTATAAGGTAAAACTATGACCGGGGTCTTGATATTCAGACGCATTTTCAGGACTGAAAATTCAACCGAAATTTCCTATTACCTGCATAATTTACAAACATACTGGTGGTTTGCATCCACTTATTAGTCTTATTATTCAATAAGAATATGTTTTTCCTTGCATGATTAACTTCATTGTTTTTCTTAGTCTTCTACAATATACCGAACAACAATGATACAATACTCTCCAAAACAGCAGCAAAACTGATTCATATTGTCCAGAGAGCACAAGGTAAGTCCTCAAATGATTGTGGAATGCGAAAACGATATGTAAAACTAACGATCTGGTATTATGTCTTATGGAGGACGAAAGATTAGTGGGTTACTGTAATTTATAGTGAGGCCTCACGATTTTTCTCAGAATTATTCTTAGGATTTCTCGATTTTATTTTTAATTTTTTATTTAGTACTTGGTAATGCTTGCGGAAAAGCTTGAACTTTAACTATCGGGTGGCGATTAATAAACGGAAAAAGGGGAAAGAGCATGATGAGATTTAAGTTCTTGAAAGAGAACTCGAACCCATGAAAAACCGGGCCTTGTTAAGTAGTTTGTGGAATTTTCTCTTTTATTTTTTCGTTTAGTAGAACAAACAGCACAAAATTACTTTACAAACCGTACTTACAATTGTTGAATTTAAGTAGTTTGGAATTTATCTGGCTTTTGATCCAGAGAAGTGATTCCAATAAGCAAGCCATTGAAGACATCGAAGTCAGAATATTGAAACTCCGAGGTATAAAATAATTTTGACCTTGGATGAGCCGTTGAGCAATGACGGATAAGAGATGATTCGTACCATATCCTCACTATCCTAATATTGATCTTCACCGTTGTCACTATAATCATGGACTACGACAACATCTATTACAATTACGTCCAAGTCATTGTCACTGACGTAGGGTGATAAACTCTTCGGCTTCACTGTACCTTCAGTGCGACTATTGCTTCGGTAATACATAACCGTTAAAACTACACCACCAGTGCTGCACCGTCGCTATTGCTGAAAATAACATTTTTAACCTTTATCGATTACCTTAGTTACCATCGTTACATAACTATATTCAGCAAACCAGGAGCAGCCATCATCTAACGCGAAACAAAAAGTCTAGAATGATTCGATGCCTGCCAATTTTCGAGAAGAAGAAGAAAAATGGTTCGTGATCGCTTGAAGATAAAAGGTTTGGTCACCGATTTCATTGAAACTTTGTCAGTTTAAAAGGTCTACCCCAAAACTCAAAAAGACCAAGTAGTTTCCGTTTTGGTTTTATCCGGGGGGAGATAGACCACCCCCTCCTCGGTTTTTCTTGGTTTTCACTAAGGAAATCGCCTCAAAATAGGTAAAATGTATGAAGCTCTCACTGCGATGGTATTTAACCAATTACTCTGAGGGTTTGCACACTTATTATTGCATTATTAGTTAATGTCTGACGCAAGTATCAGTCAATTTGATTGACGGCTTGTGAATCAACAGAGGCAAATAAACGACTGTGTTTTTAGATTTTTCGATTCATCTAAATATTTGACAACTTTGAGGTCAAATATCTCCCGTTGCCAGAAAACTATAACGCTAATCTTAATTACCCTTTATAATCTATCATTTCATCTCTGAAAACCATCAAAAAAATCCTTGGGCACCATTGGTATTTTTGTCTGGATGCCTTTTAAAATCTGCGACTGTGACAAGTTTCCCTCAACTACACCTGTCACGCAATTCTGGCTCTAGCCGGTCACTTGACCAAATAAACCCACTTTCTTTAGCTCTTCATACAAGATGATTGATCAAGAAAGTTTTGGGGAAGACCCTTTAGAATGGCAAAGTTTCATTGAAATCGGTGAGATGGCATGTAGCACGACTGCCCAATGCTCTCGTAGACACACTCTTAATACCTCAGCTTGTGGTAAAGATTTCTTAGTATCGCAAGAAGAATAAAAACCCCATTATTAATTTTTCTTCTATAATTTTTTAACAATTTTTAATTCTCTATCGATCAGTTTGGCTTTGAGTGCTTAACCATATTACCTGTGAGCACTCTACCCATTGTCCAATTTCGTGTTCTCGGTATGTTTTCATTTAAAAATTTTCATTGTCTCAAAACTAAAAATGAAAAACTTAAAATGTGATGCCTTGTAACACCACAAAAAATAATTTACGACGCTCTAAACTTATGAATTGATGAAATTGAAATATGGTTTAAGATCGAACATTGTTGCAATATTTGAGCTTCATACAGTTTCTCTTTCCTCCTTTTTATGCAATGAAACTGAACAGAAAACCGATGTTCAGGAAAAAAGAAGTTGTTCTAGTCGAAAGTGAAAAGGGAGTACTTTACAATGAGAACTTGTGAAAGAGTGTTAAATTTGACCAGCAAACAACATTTTAGGGAGATCCACACCCAAATATGCTACGCAGATCTTTTTTTGGTTGTCATGCAGTGTTTCTCTTTTTCCATCATAGCCGGGGTAAAGATAGGAGGGTGAAGATGTGGATTAGAGTGATTCAGGAAGGATTGGAGTGAATTGGAGTTGATAGGATTTGATTAGGGCGAATTGGCAAGGATAAGAGTAGACTGAGGTGAATCGGGATGCGGACATCTGTTCCAGAACTCACCATAGCTGTCTGTACATAAAAGGCAGTTTGGTTCCAAAGTTTTTTATTTTTTAATGATCTCTCGTTATCATTTCAAAGTCTTGTTGCTAAGGAAACACATATATGCCAAAGAGGAAGACACTTCTTCACAAGTCTCTCATTAATCAGGGGTATTAATTTATCTACCTGACTCTGAACAGCCTGTTCTCATCGACATTCTCTTCGTAATGTAGATAGTTCTTAGGTCGCAGGTGGTCGACATTCCTCTTCCCCAGGGAACAAATTTACTTTGGCATCTGGTGGTGTCGTCAAGAACTCCTCTAGTTCGCGCACGCTCATTTCTGTTTGATGAACATTCGATCTTTTGTCTTGATTGTTGCTCATCATTGCAAAAGATTCTGCTCTTTTCTTCTCCTCACCTGGTACTTGCCATATACAGCAAACAGCTGTCCACAGAGAACGAGGAGTTACAAGTGTTATTGTACCTTGCACAAACGTATCCGTCGGAAAGGGCTTAGGAAGTACATTTGTAGAATCCTTAACAGCTATCCCCGCCGGACTAGTGACAAGGCCATTTTCTGATCTGCCAGTCAAAAGGTAGAGGGTTCCATCTTTCTTGCCACAATTGTCCTTTGCATAATTTTCCACTTTTGTCTCAAACTTCGTCAAATAAAAGTTCGACGCTGCAAACTGAGGTACTACATTGGTAAATGTGTAGGTAGCGTCCATGAATTTTTCGTTAAAGGAATTTATCGCTGAGGGATTCAAATGGCCTTTGGTTAGTTCTTGGTTTGGACGTGATCCTCTAAGACGTTCTCGGTTTTTTTCGATTGCTTCCTTATAAGCAATTTTGAGATCAGGAACACCTGTGAATATAGATGTTATAGAACGATAAACAAAAAGATTATGATATTTTTTTGGTATCAAAGAAGTGTTGTACACTAATCTTAAAACTGTATCCCCTCCTCTTGTATAACCGTGAGGGTATGAAGTCAAACTTGGTGTTCCGTTAGGCAGGAAATATATTAGAGATCACCCACTAGTTGGCCCCACAGACCTGAAATAGGTGAGGTCGGCACTCGGTGATGGACAGTTCTCATTTTCAGAATATCATTAACGCCTTAATTGCTTGGCTTGTCCTGGCGGAAAGGCACAGGATGTATACGTGCTCTGCAAAGCGTGTCAGTTTAGCGAGGAGGGGAAAGGGGTTACTGCGTGATACGGGATGACTGTTTTTAATTTTCATGACCAGTTAAAATGCGAAATTGAAACCCCGTAAACTGTGAATATTTTGCTTTTCACTATACTGGAACCCTACAGTTGTTTCTCCTTTATTTCGTGATGCGTTGTTTACACTTTCTACTAATTCTACCCCCTCTATAGCTGATCGAAAACTAATCGTAAATTAAGGAAGACTCGACTTTAAATGATAAATTACGCAGTCTTTTCAGCTTTGGTTAACTAATGCCTCCAATGCTAGAGAGTTAAAGCGGTGATTTCCCATGTTTGACGAGCTGTACTGTTTGTTACTTTTTGAAAAAAAAAAAAAAAAAAAAAAAAGGGGTAGAAGAGGGGCATCAGTCTACAAAATACATTCAGACATGTACGCTCACGATACGGTCCCCGTACGACAAAGTGCAGTTTGATCTTGATTAATCTGTGAAACTCTGAGGACATACGTGAGTTGGTTCGATAATAATGTACTGGTGTTCACCATTCAAAATTTAGTCGATGTTCAATGACTATCTGTAACCTGGGGGTTTCTCCACGTCATTCCACCCAGCCTTTCTTCCTTACTAAGGTCTCTTGCCCTATCAGGTGTTACCATGTGGACTGAGTCAACCTGCAATTAATGTTTAATGATTATCTCCAAACCTCTCTCCACACCGCCTTCTCTCCAGCGTATTCTACCCGGCCTTCTTCCTTTCCCAATGTCCTTTGACTGAGCAGGTGTAACTTTGTAAGCTGAATAAAACGGTGTATTGGTGCTTGGATCAAAGAGAGAAAAAAAGTAAGGTGGAGTGCCTGGAGGATCATAAGGCAGCGTCTGCTCGATTTCGATCCCTTGAGAAGTACCAGGTAGCCCTTTTGGAGGACTACCACCTGCAAAGAATGGCGGTTGAACACTTCTTTTCTCTGGAGGGGAAGTCGCAGATCCTTTTAAAAGCAGATATTGGTAGAATCAGACTAGGAACAAAGTTTTAAATACATCTGAATAAATCAGATTTATTTCAGAAACTGATGTTGGATTGATTTCAATTAATATGACGAGTTAATAAAAAGACTTTTATGAATGTGTATCAGGGGAGTTAACGGCTCAACTTGCTACGTACTCAAGTTTTCTAAACTCAATTTAACAGTGCAGAGCTCAGATGAAAATGCATCAAACGGCGCTATTATTACACCTGTTAAAGTTTTATACCCCACTGACCCTAGCAAAACATATTTAGTTAAACCGGGTTTAAGTGGATAAAAATCAGAAACAGAAAACTGAAAAACTGAATTCAGTGTTCCGTAGGTTTCAAGAGGTCAAACATACAAACATCGGTTTTAAGTATGCCGCTTTTACGAAGAAAACAATTTTAGTCGCTATTGACAAAACAGCTGTTTAAGCTTTTTTTGAATGGGGGTATTAGTTTCACCAGGGTTTGCCCCCAAGAATATAAATCTGAGGATCGGTTTGGTGACCAAAGCGTTTTTCATTGTTTCAAAAAATTCAAGGTAGATGCATGTATAGATACTAGTTAGTTCATAAAAAGTTAAGAAAAGAGTAGTTCTCATGATTTATAGGTTAGAACAGGTGCAACTGTGTTGTCGAAATTCCATAATAATTCTAACGCATTCCTTGCATAACTTGGCACTTACCAGAAATACTTTTCGAGAATACAGTCTTAGACAGTACAAGGACAGAAAAAAAACACCAAACAGATGTTTTCTTCATTTTGTCCGATGTCTCTGGTTACTTCTTAGTTAATAAACGTAAAGAAAGTGAATGACATGATTATATTGATTAGTGCTCTTCAAACTCATCAGGTATTTCTGTTTACGCTTGATTAGCTAGAACAGGTCACTTTCATTTTAGTACAGAGTATAATACTCTTCAAACCCATCAGGTGTTTGTGTCCACGCTTGATGGGCTAGAATAGGTCACGTTCATTGTGATACAGAGCATAGTACTCTTCAAACCCATCAGGTATTTCTGTTCACGCCCGATCGGCTAGAATTGGTCACGTACACTGTATTACAGAGCATGATGCTCTTCAAACCCATCAGGTATTTATGTTCACGCCTGATTGGTTAAAACAGGTCACGTTCACTGTAGTACATGGTATAATACTGTCTAAATCCATCAGGTATTAAAACACTCGTAATTGGATATGCCAAATTGGATAGTTTAGCAGCCAATAAAATATTAAGAGGAATTTTGAGCCATCAGCCAGTAACACTCATTTACCTGGCCAGTGCTTGCAGGCGCGATTGCGCACGTAACTTGGATACCCCATCGGTGTGCGCCAGTGTAGCGTACTGCGGGCACGCGGCTAGGCATTGCACGAGGTCTCACGTGGGCTAATGGATATGAGGCCGCGTAAGCAAATAATTTGCACCAGTTTGATTTCCCGCTCAAAACGCGGGTTATGGTTGAAGTTGAACAGTATATCTCAGTATTTTGCAATATGTAATCAAATCGCAAAGCAACAATACCGGCAGAGCTAAAGCGTTGTCAACGGGAGGAAATTGTTATGATTCAAATTTGCCGGCGGAGAGAGGGTTTTGAGTGAAAATAGGATGAAAGGAGAGAGACTCAGCGATCAAAAAAACAAGAAGTAAAAGACGTGGAGCGAGTCGAGAGAAACGGGCAAGAGAGTTAGAGAGGACGCCAAAATAGGCAGAATACGGTGAAAGGAACGCGGTAGAGCTGTCAAGAATGGTGATCATGAGTTGTTGAGTTACCGCCACCCCCTGTCTGATGGACTTGGAAGCACTGGCTGGCAAAAGAAGGTTTGGTCCCATACGTAGGCTGCATCAAGTACACGGACCAAAGCTGTTCGCAATGTTACAAAAATTGGGAGAAACAGTCCAACTCGTTTGCTAATGAGCAGTTCGTCGAGAGAAGCAAGCCTGTTACGCAACTACTCAACTACTCAAGAAGAATAATCTTCCCACTTTCACGTCGACGAACAAGAAGACCGTTTCAAAAGACAAGATGAAAGTGGGAGTTTTGAAGGATGACTGTGCTTTATTTTTACGGCTTTACATAGCTTGTCAAATTCGTGATGGAAACACGGAACATTTCTTCAAGCATGAGAATCAACCATGGCCGCCATCACTTTCGCAGCTTGGTTAGCTTAGAGGACAACGTGTTTGCCCAGCACATCAGCAGAGATCAACGGCGAGAAGGGCTGACTTAATCTGGGATGTCTATCAGGATGATTCACTGAAGAGTTCGCTGCGAGAAAAGAGGGGCTCTGGACAAAGGAGCAATATACTAACATCAACAAGTATCCCTGCTGACTGAAAAGGCTTTCTATGAGTGGTTTAATCACAAATATTTATATTCATTTTATTTAAGGTGGTTTCACTGAAGGTTCCCGAGGGTAAGAGCATCTACTCTACCTATGACAAGAATATCCTATCGAGTACTGAAAGAACAGAGATGAGCTTACTTGCGCCTTGCACACATGAAGAGGAAGATACTCGCCTTACGGTCGAGGCACTATGCAGCCTCAAGCGGACATCGATGAAATAGAATTAGAAACAATGATACCGATGTTGTTGTACTTGCTATTTCAGTGGCTAGCACTCCTCCAACAGATGAACTCTGGATCACCTATGGATCTGGAAAGAATGTACAAAATATCCTAGCAATATCCCTGGGTCCTGATAAGGCCTCGACCCTACCAATTTTCCATGCACCAATTGGGTGTGATACTGTTTCGTCTTTTTTTAGAGGGCGTGGAAAGAAAACGGCTTAGGATGTGTGGAACTTGTTTTCTCAACTGACGCTAGTGCTAAAAGTCCTCAAAGCATCACCACAAGAGATCACAGAGGAATACATGGCTTTCCTTGAGAGGTTTGTTGTCCTTATATATAACCGTAAAGCAGCCTTACGAAAGTAAACGAGGCGCAACAAAAGCTCTTTTAAAAGAGGTCTAGAAGCTTAGACAGTATCCCTCCCACTGGATCGTGACTTGAGCAACACGTCAAAAGAGCAGTGTTCCAAGGAGGCTAGGTATGGTGCCAAACCCTCCTTTATCAGCCAGTGCTTCCAAGCCCATCAGCCTGGGGGTGGCGACAGCTCAACAACTACTGGTCGCCATTCTGGACAGCGAACTCATTTGATGTGGATGCAGAGCCTCATGTAGAGAACCATGCAAGTGCTTAAAGGCTAATTCGGCATGTTCTGGTTTGTGCAACTGTGGCGGCAACTTCTAACAGCCACAAATATTTACAAAGTACGGTGTCACTAACGACCAGAGTAGATCGACTAAGAATTATTCATTACATTAATCATTTGTTGAATTTTGGTTAGATAGGAGAACATTTTAGGATCTCACCCAAAGCGCCGTTCAGAGAGGTGTAGCTGAACAATTTACTACAAGTATCCCAAATCTGTTAACCAAAGCTTATTTATAATAGCTGGTTAATTTTAATAAAGTAACGGACGAGAACGTCAAATCAGCCAAAGACATAAGCTTGTTGTTTCTAAGGTAAACAAGTTTTACCAATCGTGATTCAGAAAATAACGTAAACAGATATATTTAACGTTTAACCTCAGGGCACCCAAACATTATGATAAATATCAAAGAGGATAGTACCATAATAGCATAAGATGGATACAAATGGATAGAAAATGAGTCGGTTCTTATGTTTGAAGGCTTTTGTCGCAAATTTTCCTAAGCAATGTCGTTAAAGAGGATTCTTTTATTCTTAGCCTCGTTTCTATGTTAGCGAGTTTCTAACATGCATGGTTCTCGTCACCAGAAGTTAATTTGGACTGACCCTATATCAGAAAATGTTAGTCTTAGGGTCATAAGTGTTGTGGCAAAGTTTCATGCTTTTATCATTAATTTGAACAATTTTGGTCTATAACCGCTTAGCTATAAGAAGTTTAAGTACTCCGGCTTTTCATTAATCTTTGCACTCTCGAGTTTCTCATACATTTCATTGTCACTATCAACTGATAATCGGATTTCCTGTCGTACAATTCAGGTAAGGTTCCCCTATTAGACCATTAATTTTAAAAAATAGATTCGCTGACTTCTTGGAATAACGTCAGTTGCGCGCTATTAGCAGGCTTACAAAACGTGGTAACCTAACTCGACCCAGGAGTTTCGCTGTCAACTATGCGGCGGCGTGTGTGGATGACGTAAACAAAGTTGTCTCCTATGTCGTTGTTGCTGTCTTGGACGAAATATCTGCCCCAGAAGTCAAAAAGCTTCCTGTGCGAACTGAAAATGACACCTGTTTTGACGTTGGAAGCATGATAGGTGTATTCAGCAAGAGCAGGTTTCAATTTGAAATGAAGCAAAGGAGAACTGTCCGAATCGGGTGAGTTATTACTCTTTATATTTGATTGTGTTGAATGCAATTGCATGAGCAAAATTTCCCTAGGTTGTTGTATTGGGCAGGTCAGCAAAGGCTGACCTGTGGAATAGCTCTCATACAGCCTGGCATATATAAATACTTGGCTTCTTTACACGTCACACATAACATCCAAAATTCTTTCACGTTTACGCAAAACTTGAGACGATCACGTTTAACACAAAAGTGTATCACCAGTGTCCACTAAATGTTAATTAAAAGTTTAGTGGAGGAAATAAAAATTAGAGGAACGAACTTCATGTATTTACATTCAGTAAGTTATCATCATTACTAACAGTAATTGACAATGCTTTTCAACAAAATTTTGTAGGATTTACCACATAATCACTCTCTACCTTTGATTTGGGTTGAAGGTTACCCAGTGCCCATAATTCAGGTACATACGTACTTGGTACTTATAATATGGGCTTGTGATCATCTGCTTACCTTCATTCAGTTTGGATGCTTGATCATCCTTTCCTCATGGTGTGATTACATAATCAACCACATTAGCCACAAGGTAAATACATGCTCACCCACTTCCCTTTATTTGGTTACCTGATCCATATGTTCACATAATTTGGATACATATTCACCCCAACCTATGATTTATGTGCATACCCAACTGCTGGGTACAGTGCATGATAATATTGTAGCCTTGACCATTAACCCCCAAAAGTGAATGGCATGTAATTTCTCTTTGTAATATCCATACATTATCCAGCATACAGGTCAAGAGAAATGACTCAAACAAATCACGACAGGATTTGCGAGGTATTAGGAGACTTAATTTTGCCAGCAACGAAGTAGCAGTTCGTGACGATAGCGAAACAGATTCAGTTGACGCCTTGGCCTTAACAATGCACCAAGCTAACAAAATTTAGGGTACAAAAAGAATCGCACTCTCATTCCGTATTCTGATTCTGACGTGGAAAGTGTAAGTGCTTTTGCTTTCAAAATGAGAAAAGCAATCTACTAGCTCTATAACTGAAATTGAAATATGATTTAGAGACTCTGTCTGTTATATTTTTTAGCTAAAGTTCAGATCCCTGGTGCTGCTGTTGATAACAACGTAAATATGCCTTGGTTAAACCGAGGATGAATGATCCTCGCTACTAGTTTGATCTGCTCCCGTGTGGTTATCCATGGTGCCACAAGCTTATGACCTAGAAGCGTCCAAACTCCCCTATATTACCTAAAAACAAGCTGGGGTTTATTAGTCGGCCGAAAAATTGGGCAATTTTTGCCCAAATATTGAATTAGAAGTTCAAGAAGTGTTTTCCTTCGTAAAAACTCACAACTAATCACAAAGAGGTATTGAAAAGCTTAAAAGAATGGAAGATTAAGGTGTAATCTTTACATTGGGATGCACTTGATAGGTCATGGTAATT